CTGAATGGTGCTTCCTGTGCTGGCTGCCCGCTCGCCCTCTCCGGTTTCCTGTGGAGGCTTTGCTGTGAGCATGTCTGGAGGAAGAGGCCCTGTGGGAAAGGACAGACCCCCTCGGCCTTCCCCAGGTGCAGAGAAGCCCCAGTGACTGGCAAGCTCCAGAGGAGAGCCTCTCCCCTCAGCACCCATGGCTGGAAAACTGCTCCTCCTGACAGCCCTGGCCACTCTGCTTCTAGAATGTTCTTACAGGCTCTGCTTCTAGAACGTTCTGCTAGCCAGGGATGGAAAGATACTGTGCATCCACAGAGGGCCTTCATAGTACCCTCTCAGAACCTGATTTCCCTCTGCCCTGTGACAGAGCCAGCCCCAGAGGGACACCCCAGTTCACTGCTGGTGTATTCTGGTGGGTACTGGGAGCAAGCAAGTGCCGCTGATTGCACGTGTAAGTTGAGTGCAATGAACTTGAAACTGTCTCCTGGGAAAGTGAGACTGAGACTGCAGCCCAGACTCAGGCAATCCTCAGACTTCTCACTGTTGGCATTTGAAGTTGGGCTTGGTGTCTGTCACATCATAACAGTTGTCAAAGGTTTTGACAGGGAAAAGTGATTTAAAACAATCTCTCATCAACCCAGACAAGCTCTGCAAATTCGAAGAGAGAGTAGTTTGGTTATTGAGTAAGCATCAAACCAGATGGGACCCGCATGGCAGGCATCTGTCACTAAGAAATTGCAGAGCGCTCGCCCCCCCACCTTCCTCCCCTCGACTACATGCTTTCAAGATGAACCATGCCTAGTCCTCAGGCAAGAGGGGTTGACAGTACCATTTGTCACTGGAGTTCATCATAGATTCTCCAGGTGACGTCTGTGTCAGCTAATGGCCTTCACCAGAGGAATTGCTATGAAGGAGAGACATTGTATGTCCCCACTTAATATATACCGAGTGTCCGCACTCTATGACTGAAACTGATTGACTGAAAGATATACAAACACAAGAGATGGGTGTGAATGCCAGATGTGGTGTGTGTGGATGAGTGGGGCCTAGGGAAGGACATTGGGAGGAGGGATACAGAGGCAGAGCATTGCCGGGATGGGGAGGTATGGTGTTGTTATCTGTTGAAGATATTTTGATCAACTGTACTGGGGAGAAATGTTCACATATTGAAATGTTCACTTCGTAAGCTAAACAATGTGATTGAATGTATATAAAAACGAAACAAAAACAAAATAAAACAAAAAATTCTCTTACCCTAAGGACCAGAGGAAGGCTTGCAATTCAGAGCAA